TTCAGCCAGCGGCAGCAGCAGGTGGTGGCCTGGGGGGTCCAGGAAGTGGCGGGGTCGTGGGGCTCGGGACCGGGCTCACCCTCGCGGAGGTGCAGGCTTTGGCAGAACACATCCCCTGCTGCCGAGAGCTGGAAGAGGGCCAAGCTCGGTGTGGAGGCCTTGGGCAGGATAGCGGCAGCCAGACCTGTGGACAGGGCAGCATCACTTCCAAGCAGGGCTGGCCAGGTCACCTGCCGCAGCCCTGGGCTCACCTACCACCCCTGCGCGTACCTAAGGTGGGCGCATCCAGTCGCTCCTGCAGCCGCCTCTGACCCGGGGGTTCCAGTACTGGGAACCCTGAGAGGGCATCAGTCCTCACTGGGAGGGATTGGGGGTGCCCTGCCAGCCTGGGGATCGAAGACCCGTCTCCTGGAGGCCAGACAGACTGCTAGACCCTGCCCCTGGCCGAGGGCATACCCCCCCACCCCCCACCCCAGCCTCTTCCCCTGCCTACGCTGGGACCTCACCTGAGAGGTGAAGCAGCTGGAGCTGGCCGCCCTGACCCCCCAGGAGTAGGGGCCGAGGGTCGCCAGGGCGGGGCACGGGCAGCAGCTGGGCCACCAGGGGTGCGGAGGGCAGGCCGTGGTCCCACTTCAGCAGGGGCACCAGGGGGAGGCGTTCATCCAACAGGTAGAGTGAGAACTGCCACTCAGGGAGAGGCGACAGGCTCTGTGACCCTCAGGAAAGGTGCTGGAGGTCGTGCCACCCAGAAGCCCACCCTGACTTTATCTGCTTTCTCTAAACCCACCTGGTCCCAGGGCCTGAGCTTGAGACTCCCTAGAGCACCATGCTGACCAGCAGCCCCTCAACGTTAGGAGACCCCGTCTTGCAGACTGCCGTCCCATGGAGGCCCTTCCTCCTCTCACCCATCCCGACTGCCACCTCCTGACAGCAGGGTGCCTGGTCTGGCGGCTCAGTACCCACCCCCATGCTCCCAGCCTCTCTGGATTCAGCCAGCGTGCTCCTGTACCCAGCGGCTGCCACTGGGGCCAGCCCGGTCTGGTGCAACCTGGCAAGCAAGCCCAGTGCCTGGCTGGTCCGGGGAGGGGTCCTCACCTGCGTACAGATAAGATGGAGAGTGGGGTTCAGAGAGGCTGGGCTGCACTCCTTCAGGTACTGGGCCAGCAGGACGCGCTCTCCTTTCTGGCACGAGGCCTCAGCACCCCCTCGGAAAAGCAGCAGGCCACAGCCCGGGGGGCCCTGGAAGACAAAGCCGGAGTCAGCCCCAACCTCAGCCTGTCTGTGACCTCACCCCCAACTCTACCGGCCCGGGTCAGCCTGGACTGCCGGGCTGGGCTGCCTCAGTGCCCTCCACCTGTGGGTCCCTTCTCTGGCATCTCAGTCCCACCCCTACCTGAGTGTCGATCATTCTCACGCCTGTGCGATCACCAACAGTTAGCACCCGGGGGTGGGCCGTGAAGTCAGCCCAGCGCCAGGTGGAGTGGTCCCGGAACACCATGGTCTCAGGGTCCTTGTAGACTTGCTGCAGCCTGGGGAGGAGGGAAGGGAAGTCAGGGAGATGGGTGGAGGCTGCTTGGGGGAGTGGGGGTCGTGTGTGTGTGTGTGTGTGTGTGTGTGTGTGTTCGGCTGGGGTGGGGCAGGCCATTACCCATTCTGGGGGGTCCACAGGCAGATGGTGCCTGAACGGCTGCAGACAGCCAGCTCCCCAGGCAGATGCGGGCTGCAGGGGGAGAGAAGAGGAGTCTGAGGGAAACAGCCCCCTGCCCCAGCCCCTGCAGGCTAAGCTCCTCAGCTCCCCTCTCACCTGAGGCTGATGCCAGTGGTTCCCTTCTGCACCTGCAGCACCTGCAGTGGGGAGGGCTGGCCTTGCCTGCTCACCTTCCACAGGGCACAGTGGTAGTCGGAGCGGACCGCCAGCAGAGCTAGGGGACAGGAGACAGAGGGTCAGGGCCCGGACCACTGGCCTACCAGGAAGGCTGAGAGAGGTGGCAGTGGGCCTTACCTTCTCCCTGGACAGTCTGAGTCACCACCTGCCGGACAGAGCCTCGGAGCTGGATGTGGCCAGGGTCCCCAAAGACCCTCGGGTGGCCATCTGAGGTCAGACTGACCTTTTGGAAGCCTGGACCTCACGCTAAGGATCAGTGTGTGAGCGATGGTCACTGCCACCCCCCAGCTACCACCTATCCCTCCCCGAGGGGGCAGCAGGGTCCCACCTAGCAGATGGATACACAGTTTGTCCAGGGCAACCCCGGTTGGGTAGACCAGCTGCCCCGCCAGGGCTGTGCTCCCGGGCAGCCAGGCCAGGGCGCCCCCAGTGATAGCATCGTCCAGGAGTATCTGTCCCCAGCGCCCTGCTAGCTCCTCCTGCAGCAGCTCCCCCACGAGGCTGGCCACCGACCTGCCCAGGACAGGACCACCAAGGATGGAGAAACGGCGCTGCCGCCGGCTGAGGGATGCCCAGGGACACCTGGGGAAAGAGAATCATGGGAAGGTCAGGCAGTGGTGGTGGATGGGACTGGTTTCTCACTGACCAGTGTGGGAGAGGCTGTCACATGACACCGACCTGGTCCAGCCATAGGACCCGGCTAACAGAATGGGCTTGAGACCCAGGACAGTCAATCAGACTCTTTCCTGGGACACCTGAAACCCAGGGACCCTGGCTCTTTCCTGGGGATCAAAAGCCATCCTGCTGCCTGCCACGTGGAGGCAGCCTGTCAGAGGGTGAAGGCCAGCAGAGGCACGTGGATCAGAAACTGAAAAGGGACCCAGCCCTGATAATAGCACGTGAGCATCTGGCTGCAGCCATGCTTGACACCCCGGGGCTGGGTGCTCTATACAAGGAAGTACGGCCCGCGGACTACACAGCGCTGGGTAGTATGGCCCGCTGACTACAGTTTCTGTTTTCTGACTGCTTCCACCGCTGCCCTCCCGCCCGTGCTCCCTGGCTACTTGCCCCCAGGGCTGGTGTCCACCAAGGTCCTGAAGCAGCCTCTTCACACTGACCACCGTCTTCTTCTTAGAGCGGCTCTGAGTGGAAAGGCTCGGTCAGGCAGAGGCACACAGCCTGTGGCTTACTGCCACAGGAAGGCGGGCACCCCTGCTGGCCAGCCAGTACCCACTCACCCGTGTGCCCTCCAGTTTGAAGTTCTCCTGCATCAGGGTCCCTAGGGACCCAAAGGCGACATCTCCATGGTCCCACAAGAAGTGGCTGAGCTAGGGGAGAGTGGACCGAGGTCACAAGCCTGTCAGGTCACCACACACGACCTCTGGGCCACACTGCATGGCCTTGTGGGACCCCTCACCTGCTCGGTAACATCCAGCGTGGCGCGGGGCCGACTGTAGAAATGATGACCTCCCCGGAAAAGCAGGTCCTGCGCGGTCAGCCCAGGGTCCCAGGGCTCTGCAGGGAGGGGGAGGAGAAGGGGTCTGTGTGTCGTCGGCCCATGGAGGGGGGAGGTCCCAGGGCTCTGCGGGGAGGGGCTTGGAAAGGGGTCTGTTGAAGACTAAGAAGGGGCAGTCTCAGAGGGCAGGGCTTGGGTAAACCCTTACCGGGACCAGGTGGCAGCAGGGGAAAGGGCCCCGGGGTGTCTGGCTCCCACCACAGGTCCTGGGCCGAGGGCTTGGCTGCCGTGTTCTGTGGGAGCCACAGAGGGGATGAGGTGCAAGCCCCCTGGCAGGCTGGGACACAAGCACCGCCCACTCCCCAGCCCTTATGGGACCAAACACACATGGAGTCCCTGAGCACGTCTACATGGAGTGTGTCCTTCTGGGCTCCTCAGGTATGACTGACAGGACGCATATGTCCCCCTGAAGTCTGGGGGACTGGGCAGGAGTGGTAGGACACACGTGTCGCTTTGGCCCTGTAGACTATTACAGGTTGGTGGACACCTCATACCCTGCCCTGTGAAAGCAGTAACCTGGGGCCCGAGGCTGCTCCTCCCGGCTCAGCCGCTCAGGTCCCTTCTGACGGCTGCATGGCATGTCCCACCAGTGGGAAATCAGCTACCCTTAGACCCCTGAGGACCCTGTGAACATGGGTCATAACGGGTTAACTCAGCCCCCTCACAGAGCTGGTGTGGCTGTAACTACAGTATTATGGGGGCTAGGGTGGGGGGGGAATGCTGAGAACAGGGAGGTGGCAGAGACTAGCTGGGCTCTGAGAGCAGGTGGCTGGGTGCCCAGAGCTGGGTGCCCACCCTGATCCCACCCGATCTCACTTCCCCTAGAGACCTCCCAGTCACTAACTCTGAGACCTGGTGGAGTACACACCCAGCTGCTCTGGCGGGTGCCCCCACAGCTCACACCCTCGTGGGACAGGGGCCTGCCCAGTGAGGGTATTAGCTGAGTGCTGGGCCTTCCTTGCCAAGGAAGCAAGTGGCAATAGCATCCTACCCCTGCCAGACCTTTCCCCCTCCCTCTTCCTCTCCCGCTGTTGCCTGGCTTACTTCACAGATGGACCGCCTGCAAGTGGCAGCCGGGCGGCTTCTGAGTCCAAAGGAAGTGCCAGTGTCCTTCCTGAGGGCAGCAGAAGTCTCGGGAAGGTGCACCCCTCCCCCATGCCCTCAGCCTCGCGGTATGTCCAGCCCAGTCCTGGCGTCGTCATGATCACTGGCATATGTGTGTCCCCCAATGCCAAGGACTCCGGCCCCAGACAAGCAATTCTCCCCAGTCTGGGCTGAAGGGAGGGGAGGAAGGAACGAAGGCTGCGGAGTGGGGGTCAGGAAGGGGCGAGCCGACAGGTCCCGCTGAATGAGCCCACTAGGACAGCCAGGGAGGGCGTCCCCTGTACCTGGATGGAGGGACTCTGGCTCAGCTTGGGCCTTTGCCAGTGTGTGCCAATGGCTCCTGTGTGCCCCTGCCAGAAAAGTGGGCCTAGGTTCTGGGGCCTGCCCTGGCACTACCATGCTCACCTCAGCTCTGCTCATGGGCAGGGACTCAGGCAGTGTCAGCGCATCCCTCCAGCTGCACATGAAGGACAGGTCAGGGATGCTGCTCAGACCCAGGGGGCCGCTCATAAACAGTGCGGGGTGCAGGGGGCTGGGGAAGTCCATCCTGGAAGACAGAACCAAATGGTCTGCGGGCCTCCCTGACACAGACTCTGGTGATGGCTGCCAGGGCTCCTGGGAGAGCGAGGAGCTGCTGCAGAGGCCTGGCTCCCATTGCCAGGGAGCCGACTCTTACTCCCAGGCCCCATGTGGTTTCCGTAAAGGCTGTTGTCTTTATGGAAGTGTACTGCCACAGGGGGTGGGGGGTGGACAACAAAAACAAAGACGTAGCCAAAAGCCAGACAGTAATGAGTGCTAGATGAAAACCAGCCCCAGGGAGGAGACAGCAAGCAACGAGGACAGCCAGGGAGCAGCCAGGCCAAGGAGGTGCTGCCTGGGCAGAGCTGGCATCTAGTGAGGCAGACAACTGGGGGGAGCGTGCCAGGCAGAACAAACAGCAAGTGCACACCCTCCTGGGGTTTGAAAGTGCTGGGCCTGTTTGAGAAACAAGGAATCGGGGAGCACGAGGAAGGGCATCAGTCCCTGGGGAGAGGTCTGTTTCTAACCGATATTACTATGAGTACACATTTCTAGTCCCAACTCACAATGCTGAATTCATGATCCAAGACAGAGGCTGTGTCTAGACCACCTTTCAACCTGCTGTTGGCCAGCCACAGTGCCTCCCCCAAATGCCAACTGATAGGCTGGCTGAGAAATGCACCTTTTAAAGGCTCATTGGGATACCACTCTGGAACCACAAGCAGTCACCTTGCTGCTGCCCCCCCCCACCTACATTTTTTCCATGCTCATTCGGAAGTCCTCTCTCTGGTGCATAAGGGGGAGGCTGTTGATACTGATTGGTCACAGATCCAGAGAGAGCAAGAGAGATATCACAGACTTGGCGTCCCAGGGGCCTTGGTGTTTGCTATCAGTGCATAGGAGTGGTCAGAACAAATTTAGGAAGGAAGATGGCAGTGCCATCAAGTGATCCCAACTCAGAGCTGCCCTTGTAAGTTTTAGAGACTGTCGATTCCTTACTGGAGTAGAAGGCCTCATCTGGCTCCTGTGGAGCGGCTGGTGGTTTCAAACTGCTGACCTTGTGGTTAGCAGCCCCACACATCACCACTAAGCCACCAGGGTTCCTCAGGTAGGCAGGAAAGAGAGAAAGGAATCAAACAGTTCCAATAAATACAGGTGGAATGGGCGCTGGTGGAGTCCCTATCACAGAGCAGCCCCAAGGCAAGACAGCCTTGATCTCCTGCGACCAGCCTCCTGCCCTGTTGCCAGTCCTCCAAGCCCTTCCGACCATAAAAGGCTGCAGAAGTTGCCAGGTCTGGATTCGGGCAAGTAGGGCTGCAAAAGGTTGCAGAGGAGGGGTAAGGGCATTGAGGGGGACCAAGTCCTCAAGCATCTCCCTAGTCCTGCCCCCTCCCACTCCGCCTGCAGGCCCCACCTAGGCAAGCCACAACAGCGAGGGGCTCACACCCAGGACTATGCACCAGGCATGTGCTACCCACCACGTTAGCCACGCGTAGAACCCGCGCCACTCCGTGAGCTAGCGGCTACAGATAGTTAAGTGGCTGATCCCAAAGCCTGCGGGCCCGAACGGCGGGGAAGCCCCGAGCTGGTCTCTGGGACCCGGGACCCCGTCTCCCGCCACCCGGGAACTGCGCTCTCTCCTCCCGTCCGGCCGCTCACGCACTTACGTGCCCGAGTCTCGGCGTGCTCGTCTGGGAAATGGGATCTCACGCAACGACCTCCTGATCCCCGTGTCTCCGAGGGGGTGCCAAGGCGGGAGCTCTTCACGCTAGCGAACTAGATGGGATGGAAACCACAATGTGAGTTAATGGTTTTCGCGGTCTGGCCGGAAGTGCTCCCTCGGAGACAGGAAGTCCCGCCTTCCAGCTCGGCTTCTCGGGTGTCCGCGAGCGCCACCCGCTGGGCGGAGGGTGGATGGAATAAAGGAGCGAAGGTGGTTGGTGGCGAGCCTCAAGGCCCACATAGAAGTCCACAAAAACTTGGGTTCGAATTCCACTTCTGCTTAATCAACCTCGTGCCTGATAAGGTTGTTGTATTAAATTAATTAACTCATAGACATTAACTATACACCTGCACGAGCCAAAAAGCCCTGGTAGTGCTGTTGTGTAAGCATCAGGCTGCTAACTGTAAGGTCGGCTGTTCAAACCCACCAGCAGCTCCCATGGAGAAAGTTGAGGCTATCTGCTGGAATCAACTCGATATCAGTGGTTTTTTATTTTGTTTTCCTGGTGACATGAGACGAGCACTATGGGAAGAGTTCTACTGATTGTCCTTGAATTGGAAAGAAGCAAGCCCTTCATATAGGTGTAGGGGCATCCCAGGAAGTATGCATGGCTCCTCAGGGGTATGAGGGAGGTGTTGCCATATAGGATAGATTCCACCTCACAGCAATCCTATTGGGTAAAACAGGTTCGAACTGGCCGGTAGGGTTTTCAAGGCTGTAGATCTTCACTGATTTGGATTTAGAATGTTGCATCTTTGTTCTTCAGGATAATCGGTGGGTTCAAACAACCAGCATCGATCAGCAGCCAAGTGCTTAAGCGGACACCATCCAGGAAGCTCAGCTTGAAGGCCAAATCGCTGCCATCCAGTCAATGCTGACTCGTAGTGACCCGTAGGACAGAGTTGAGCCTCCCCTTTGGTTTTCTGAGACTGTAACTCTTTACAGGAGTAGAAAGCCTCATCCTGTACGTGAGGAGCAAGCTGATGTTAGCTTAACCCACTGTGCCAACAGGACCTCTAGCTTTTAGGCAGTAGTTATTAACTACTAGCTGGACTAGTGACCGAGAGTGAGTGTTAACGGTGAAAGGGTGTCTAAGGGCTACTAGTTGAGTTTCTGAGTCAGTAGGTGTAAGGTGGGGCTTGAGGTTTTGCAAGGTCCCAGGGAATATACCATAATACCACCTGTCCAGGGACCAGGCCGGCAGCCGTCAGGGTCGATTCTAACTCCTTACAGAGTAGAACTGTGGTTCATAGAATTGACAGTGTTGATTTTTTTTTTTTTTTGGTAAGTACATCACCAAGATTTACTTTTGAAGGATTTCTGGGTAGATTTGAATCTCCAGCCTTTCTGGTGCCAGCGGCACATTGCTGGTTTGCATTATCCAAGTACTCCAGGCTTAAGGAAGACCTCCAGTGATTTTAAACATTTAGACTGTAATGCTTCTGTGGGGTTGTTATAGTCAGGGGCACCTCCGTTTATCAGGTGAGGGCCTCAGGCTCAGAGAAGTTAAGCGGCTGCAGGGCATTGGTATGATGGGGTGTGTTGGAAGGGGGGGTGCCTTGTCTTATGATGGAAGCCACCTTGGAACGAAAGCCTTGTCCAAGGGACTCAGACTGTCTTCCTGGTCTTTGATTCCCTGAGACTACCAAGAGTTGGAGGCGACCCGGTGGCATAGTTGTTACGCATTATGCGGTGATCTGCAAGGTCAGCAGTTCAAAACCACCAGCCCTCAGCAGGAGAAAGATGAAGTTTTTCTACTCCCACAAAGAATTAATGGAAACTCAGGTCTCTCTCTTTATGAGCCGGCAATAACTCTATGGTCCTGAGTGAGCGAGACCCAAGCGTTGAGAAGAGACCGTCCTTTCCATTGGCTGGGCAGACAGAGCCAGAGCTCAAGTTGCCCTATCCTGGGGATCGGCCTTTCCATTGGCTGGGAAGGAAGGCGGGGCTTGTGGCACTCTACCCTAGAGCCCAGCATTTCCATTGGCTGGGCAAGGGGCGGGGCTTGTGATGCTCTACCAGCCGCGTGCTTGAACTCTAGCGCCATCGGCCAGGTAGCAACGGGTGCATACTGCGTCTTCTTTGCCTTGAGTCGGACCATGTCTTCTCAGGCCTTCGCGGCCCTGGGCGGCGACAGTGGGCGCAGGAAGCCCCGCCTGGCGGCGTCGTTGAAGATCAACCCCGGGCCCACTCCGTGGCGACCCTCGGCCAGTTTGGGCCGAGATTCCTGGGAGTCCACGCCCACCCTCTGCGTGGAGGAGGTCGTTGGGGGGGGTGGACGGCCCCAGGCGTCTGCGGTGGAGTCGGCAGCGGCCGGGGACTGTGGGCCCGGGCGAGCGCCAGGTTGGGAGTGAGGCAGCTAGGCCCACGAACCCTGGTGGATGGCTGAGGACATACCCTAAGGCCTTTCTCTCTTGCCCACAGGGCCTGCTAGGGACCTCCGGACTGCGGCCAGGCAGCTCCAGCAGCAGCTCAGGGACCCGCCCCCTGGCCAGGCCGTGGCCTTGCTCACGCAGTATGCAGCCAGCCTGGGAGCCTCGCTTATCTTTCGAGAGGACCCGACACCAGGTGAACTCTTGGATACCAGACATTTGGTAGTGTGGGGCGAGGCCAGGGGTCCAGCCACCAGACCAGGAGCGAGAGGGCCACTGGCCTCTGTGCTTTGAAGACAGGCTGGTGACCAGCCAGCCCCAGATGAAATGAGAGGTGGACCAGTGAGCCAGACAGAACCTGGGGCCCTGCCCCTGGGAGCAGCATGTTTCCGGGTCTCCACTTCAGATGTCCCCTTTCTGAAGCTCAGGGAGGTTAAGGGCCTTGCTCCAACTAACCCGGTCATTACCATGCTCATTGAAGGACCTGCTTTAATTAGCACATCAGAGGCATTGGAGGTCCCTGAAAGAGAATGATACTATGGAGGTATAATCAGTACCCAAGGCCCTTTCTCTGCAATAGCACTCCCAGCCCCACTAGTTCAGACAGACACCAGGGTGGAAATTCGGGCTTCCAACCCTAAGCCAGCACCTTGCCAGTTTCTAAGGTGATAGTCAGGAAACCGCTCCAGAAGCTGTTGGCAACATTTTTAAACCCAAGAGAACTCCAGAAGGAGCCCTAGTGTGGTGGAGTGGGTTACACATTGGGCTGTTAACTGCAAGGTCAGCAGTTCGAAACCACCAGCTGCTCCCAGGGAGAAAGATGAGGCTATCTGTTCCTGTTACAGTCTCGGAACCTCACAGGGACCAGTCCTTCTCTGTCCTATAGGGTTGCTATGAATCAGAGTCAATTGATGGTTTGGAGTTTTACGAGAACCCCAAGTTGTTCCTATCTGTGGCTATCTAGTCGGTTCCGGGGCACAGCAACCCTGTATAAGGTTTTCCGGGACTGTAAGTCTTTACAGGAGCAGACAGCCTCATCTTTCTCCCGTGGAAGGGCTGGTGGGCTTGAACCACTGACCTTGGGGTTAGCAGCCCAATGCTTATCCCATGGCGCCACTCAGGCTCCTTCACATTGTCCCTGGGGGGTTCCCATGGTCCGTGCACACAGCTGCATGTGCTACCTGAGGAGAAGGAGGCCCCAGTCCACTCCGAAAGGCCTGTTTCTGAAGACCCGGAGCAGACACAGTTCCGACACACGCGGTATCCCCATGAGCAAGGGAACCCAAGAAGAACTGCACAGAAGGAGGTGATGCCAGCGAACACCCGGTGGCCCAGATGATGTTCTGCCGGGACTATCCGCAGGGGGTCCAGTATGTAGTCTCACGCTGCTGCCGCTCCATAGGCAGGGTTCTGTCACCTCCATTGTACCGGTGGGGGCACTGAGACCAGAGGGCTCACTGGAGTGCACAGCACACCTGTGCCAGCTCCTCCTCCCGAGTTGGCAGGGGAAAGCCTGGCTTCTCATCCTTTGACTTTTGATTTTGCACATTTTCCCTCCCCAAATGTTCTGCTATCATTACTCAGAATGCTAGCTGGACCTAGAAGGCGGCACCGCTTGCCCCTGTAAGATTCAGCGATGAGCTTGACGTCCACAGGTCCTCCTGCTGCCGTGTTGTTGTTATAGGTGCTGTCAAGTCCGTCCTGGCCCGTAGCGACTCCCCCGTGCAAAACAGAGAGGGACACTGCCCGGCCCTGCGCTGAGCCCATTGCTGCAGCCACGGTGTCTGTCCCTCCCTCTGCGGGCCTTCCCTTTTTCACTGCCTGTGTTAGACAGGGTTCTCTAGAGAGAGAAAACCAAATTGCTGATAATTTAATATATTTATTTATAAAGATAATTAGATACATAACAAGGAATGAACTGTTAAATCATATACAGTTAAATATATAATACAAGAAAGAAAGTTAAATTATAAAGCACTACAAATGGCTCAATTCAACTCACTGCCGTGAGAGAGATGTGAGAGACTAGCAGCCCTTCCAGTCTCTATCTGATGGCCAGATCTTCTCTATTTATAGAGAGAGCTAGGCTATGTCAGCACAGCAGCCAATCAGAAGGCAGGTCACCAACTGCCAGCCAGGTCACCAACTTCCAGTCCCCAGCTCCAGCGATGTCTTAAAGGGACCTCAACTTACAGCGACACAGTCTACAGGCTAGGGGTCCCACGGGTAGTGTAGCTTTTAAATTGAAGCACACTGGTCCGATGATCAAAGAGCGAGAGACAAGAAAGGCGAGACTCACCAAGGCATTTATCTCTCTGCCCTTCGGTTAATCCCACTTGTGTTTATCGGCCAGGCTGGCACAATAAACTATCTCACTGCCCCTCTCCTTTACCCAACAAAACAGTGGCGACCCTGTCTTGCTTGGGGACACTTGAACGCGTCATGGGAAGAATCTCTGTCAAGTGCTCCCCCAGGCCCTCCAGGAGACATTGCCATGCATGCAGTGCCGGCGTCTCTGCCCCACTCTGTGCGTGTCCATCTTTGTAAATGGCCATGTGCTTGGTTCCGTCTGTCCGAAAGCTGACAAAACACATACACACACAACCCTGAACCCTCACTCCCACAGTGTGCCCACCAGAGCAGGGACGGTCCCTTCCCCGACCGACTCCCACTCACCTAGCAAATCCCAGAAATGGGAGTCGGTTCCACCTTGTAGCCACCCTGCCCCATCAGTGTTCCACGGCTATATGGGAACAGATGGCCACGTCTTCCTCCAGCAGAGGGGCTGGTGGGATCAAACTGCTGCCAGGTGCTTCACCACCACGCCCCAGGGCTCCTCTTGACTGTAAAACTGAAACCCCAAACCCACGACTCATGGTGACCCCATGGGGACAGTTTGGGACAGTCCCACAGGGTGCCCAGAGCTGGGGACTGTTATGTAAGTAGAGCGGCTGACAGTTTCAAACTCCAGACCTTGAGCTTCTGGCCAGGCAGCTGGGCACTTTAACCGCAGCACCACCAGGCATTCCCCTCCCCGGATGGACAGTTGTCCCCGCTGTCTTCCCAGCCCTGCACCTGTCCGTTGCAAGGCCCCAGTGCTCGACTCCTGCCTCCCGAACTGGTTCCTCCTCCGTCCTTGTCTTCCACTGAGGGCACCGGCGCCCTTAAGAGAAGGCCTCATGCCTGGTGGGCTGACTTGTGGTTCACATGTGTCTGTTTCCTTGGGTGAGGCCCTTGGCTTGCCTTAGGGACGGGAAGGCACACCAGCCGTGTCACGTCTCAGAATCACGGCAGCTGGAGCTGCAGCTGGCACTGCCAGCCAGGCTGCTTGGTGAGGGTGATGCCTACCAGGGGCCACCGAGCTGCTTCCACCTGCGTTTCATGCAGGCCAGGCGCAGACCAAAGAGGCCGGGAGGCTGCCTCACCCCCGCCTCTCCCTCCCCAGGCCCCTGCACCCCTTTCTCAGTGAGCGTGGAGCTGGATGGTGTGGTCTGCTCCGAGGGCTCTGCCGACAGCAAGTCCGAGGCCAAGCAGCAGGCAGCCCTGTCCACCCTCCACTACATCAGGGCCCATCTGGACGGACCAGGTAACGGGGACCAGCCCCTGTGCCCCAACAGGAGGTGAGGGAGGTGGCCGTGGGCATGCATGTGGATGGGTGGGGTGTGGCAAGGCCCCTCTGGACGTCAGGCCCCCACCTGGCTTGTGTGCACACCCCCAGCTGCTCCAATGCCCTTTCAGGCCATGTCCACACTGGGGACAGGGCCTGCTGGCTTCTGGGAGCTACAGGCCTCCCTCCTCTCCCTGTGGGCTTCTGCCACTTCCTGAAGGATGGAGGGTGGACCCATCTCACCGTTTCTCTTCCAGAGCCCACTAGGACTTCTGGCAAGCTTCCACTGGCCCCACTGAGTGCAGGTAGGTGGGCCCCAACTGGCCCTGCCTGATGATGCAGGCAGCCACTGGGCCCTGTCCCCACCTCTGCCCTCCTCCCATCCAGAGGACATCGTGACTCATCAGCAGCGCTGCGCCGCCGTGGTGGACGCTGGCTTTGACCGCCTGGTGGACAGGAGCTCAGCCTACTGGGCCTGCAAGGGGACCGTGGCCGCAGTCATCCTGGAGAGGGGTAGGGACCACTTCCCTGACCCACCACCCCAGGGGCCACCCCTCCTGGCCCTGGCCTGAGAGGTCTCTCCAACTTTCTTCCCTGGCAGAGGTCCCTGGTGCCAGGGGCCAGGCCAAGGAGATGTACGGGCTGGTGGCGCTGGGCACGGGCAGCGGCTGCTGCACTGGCCGGCAGGAGTTCTCAGGCCGGCAATTGCATGACTGCCACGGGTTGGTGGTTGCCCGCCGGGCCCTGCTGAGGTGAGAGTGGGCAGCCAACCACCATGTCTTGCTGAGGGTGGGTGGCAGGCACTGGTGGGGCCCCCTTGAGAAGAGGGTGATGGGCGCTTAGCTGCAGATCTGTGAGGAAGGGCAGGGGGCACCCCCAGCGCCCAGCTTGGCCCCTGCCTGTTGCCCGCAGGTTTCTGTTTCGGCAGCTCCTTTTGGTGACACAGGGGGGGCCCAAGGGCAAGGAGCAGTCAGTGCTGGCCCCCCAGCCTGAGCCTGGGCCCCCCTTCACCCTCAAGCCCGGGATCTTCCTGCATCTCTACGTCAGCAACACTCCCAAGGGAGCGGCCCAGGACTTCTAGTATGGGGAAGCCCGGCAGGGGGGTGGGGGGTGCTGGGGTAAGGGAGGGCAGACAGCAGCATTGACCCAGACCCCCCAACATCCAGCATGGGGACCCTGTGGGGTGGGGGAGAGGCGGGAGGCACTGACTGCCCGCCCCCGCCCTCTTCTCTACCCTCAGCCTCCCCTCCTCCCTGGAAGGCAGTTTCCTGCACAGCTGCCCCTTCCGCCTGCAGGCACACGTGCGGGGGGAGCTGAAGCCGGTGGGCTACATCGCCTCTGCACTCCGAGACACCTATGTGGGCTGCCTCTCTGCCAGCGACAAGCTGGCTCGATGGGCTGTGCTGGGGCTGGGCGGTGCCCTGCTGGCCCACTTCCTGCCGCCCCTCTACGCCACCAGCCTTGTCCTGGGTGAGGTCTGGCTGGCAGTGGAGTGGCATGTGGGGCCTGGGTGTGTGTGTGTGAAGCATTCTGAGCACCCCTCCCCCATGCCTTCTGCCCACAGCGGACCCCTGCCACGACCCCCCCACCCTGAACAGGGTCATCCATGGCCGGCCCAGCCTGAACGAGCCCGAACAGCCGGACCTGCCCTCGCCCTATGCACGCACCACTCTGCATCTGTTCTCAGGGCCCCCGGGGGCCCCTTCGGACCCCATCCCCAGCACCTGCCAGGGCCTCAGCCTCAACTGGAGCCTGGGGGACACTGGTGTGGAGGTCGTGGATGTGGCCACTGGGCGGGTGAAGGCAGAGTGAGAGGGAGCTGGGTACGGGCGGCGGCGGGGGCAGGGGCGGGGGACCCTTGGAGGCCTCAGGGAGTTCTGGGCTCAGGTTCACCCAGCAGCCACTGATGGGCTGCAAGGGCCAGCCAGTCCTTCCGTGCCTACCCAAGAGGGGGGCCTGCTCAGAGTGGAGGGGGTAGAGGTGGGGGTGGAAGTGGAGGAAGCTAGGTGGACCCACATGCAGGTTGTGATGCTGCCCCCCTCCTCCCAGTGATGCCCCAGGGCCCCCCTCCCGCCTCTGCAAAGCTGCCTTCCTGCGAGCCTTCCGCCAGGCCACCCAAGCGCTGGGCAAGCCCCAACTCTTGGCCATGAGGACTTACGAGGAGGCCAAGGTCAGTGCCTCCCCACCACTGCCTTGGGCTGCCCTGCCTCCCCCGGCCCCGCCCAGTGAGCACCCCTGTCTCCCCCTCAGGCAGGGCCCTACCTGGAAGCTCGCCAGCTGCTCTCCTTGCTCCTGGACCAGCAGGGCCTCGGGGCGTGGCCCTCCAAGCCCCTGCTGGGCAAGTTCAGAAGCTGAGACCAGGACCCAGGCCAGGTCCAGGCAGAGCTGGACCCCAGCCTGGAGGAGTGCCCTGCTGGGGTGGGTGGGGTGGGGGTTAGGGGCAGCACATGGGAGTGGGAATAAAGAATGAATGTTTCTGCTGCTTCTGCGAGGAGCCATCCCTTCTCTCTCTGTGGTGGTTGGTGGGCCCTAGCCCCTGGCAAACTCCTTTGGTGAAATACTGTGGGGCCTCACAGCCAGACCTTCTAGCACGTGCAGTGGCCCCACGCAGCAGAGCCCACTGTACTCAGTCCTGCACACTCACCCCAGGCTGTTACAGATCGGAGCATGCAGTCACAGGCTCTCACTAGAAGGAGACCATCAGCTCTTAGGCTGCTTCCTTTCTTAGCCACACACAGCTGTAGTGGCTGCCCAGGGGGGCCTCTGACTGGGAATGCAGCCCAGCCCCCTGCCTGGAAGGGGAGGAGTCTGCCAGGAGCCATGCCCCCTCTCCACCCAAACCCAGCCCCCTGCCACCAAGTCACCTCTGACTCATGACCATCCCGGAAGGAGGGAGCCTCGGTGTTCTCCCAAGGAGCAGCCTGGGCTCCCTCTCTGCACATTACAGGCTTGATCGTGGGGCCACCCCCACCCACCCTGACCCTGCCTCACGGGAGAGGAGCCACACAGGCAACCACGGATCCACTGGCTTCTCTCTCACAACTGCTGCCTTTCAGCCGATGCCCACTCAAACGCCGACCCCTTAGAACAGGGCAGCAGGGCCTCCGTGGGCTTCTAACTTTTTATACGTGGGTAGAAAGCCTTGTCCTTCTCCTGAGGAGTGGCTGGTGGTTTCAAACTGCTGGCCTTGCAGCTCACAGCCCGGCTGGTAACCCGCTGCCTGCAGGGCTGCTGGAGTCTGGTGTCTATAGAGTTGCGCATCTGAGTCCCCAGTGTCTGTCCTGCGGGGACCGACTCGCCTTGGTTGGCGTGAGGGCTTCGAGCGCATTCCTGTTGGGCTGGAGTCCGGGCTCCGAGGGTGGTGTGCGCCGACCACATGCTCCTCCTCGTCCCGCACCAAAAAAGCTCCAAACTCACAGCGGTCAAGAATCAATTGTGATACTGGGAGGGTGGAGGGAGAGTGGGTTGGAAAGGGGGAACCTATTACAAGGAACTATAGGTGACCTCCTCCCTGGGGGACGGACAACAGAAAAGTGGGTGAAGGGAGACGTCGGACAGGGCAAGATATGACAAAATAATTTATAAACGTATCAAGGGCTCATGAGGGAGGGGGTAGCGGGGAGGGAGGGGGAAAATGAGGACCTAATGCCGGGGGCTTAAGTGGAGAGGAAATGTTTTGAGAATGATGAGGGCAATGAATGTGCAAATGCGCTTTATACAATTGATGTGTGTATGGATTGTGATAAGAGTTGTATGAGCCCCTAATAAAATGATTTTTTAAAAATCAATTGTGGCAACTCGTGACCCTGCAGGACAGAGGAGAACTGCCCCCATGGGTTTCCCAGGCTGTCCATCTTTATGGGAGCAGACAGCCCCGTCTTTTTCTCTTGGGGCGCAGGTGGGCCCATGTTGGCACAACACAACCCACTGTGTGGCTCTTTGCGGATGGGCAGGCCGGTGGTGTGAGAAAGCCCTGCCAGGAACATGGAGTCCAACTGCTCTGGAAATACAACGTTGCCAGATCAACTTTGAAAGCAGTATTTCTCCTGGGTTTTTTTTTTTAAGGGGTGGGAGGGCTTCTTAAAGGCCCCGAGCCTATTAACCAGCCTGCCGGCTGTACATCTCTCTCCACTGGAGGGGCCTTGAATTGATTTACTCTTGGCCCTGACACCAGGATGACTACTAACAGATCCAGAAACCTAGCAGGGTGCTTTCAAACGGCATATGTCGCCGGCCCTGGGGTCTTCATTAATCACATAATTACTGGGTAAACAAGTTATTCAAATTGGCACGGAACCGCTGCTGTGTTCTGCCAAATAAGCATCATCTGTCCCCATCCTGCAGACGTGCCTCTGCAGAGCCCCCTCCCCACCCACCCCCCGCCCTGGGAAGCCTTTCCATGTCCCAGTATCCACCCAGCTCCCGCCCAGCTCCCCCGACGCAGCTGACTTCTCTCCACAGCTGCGCGATGAACATGCCTTTGGGAGCCCAGAGCCTGTTCATGTCTCCTTGGCCGGGCACCCCTGCCAAAAGTTTTTGCCAGTGAGAGTGTATTTAAATTGGAGTGCAAGGTCTCCTAGCTTGGCAGGACCCCAACATTGTTCCCTTCAGGGCCCCCACTTCCATCCTCTAGACCAGGGGTGGGAGATGTCCAGCCGTCTACAGCCCGAGAACTCACTAATACCGGCTAACGTGCCATGCTTTGCCAAAGAAAAGCCATCCCAGCCATCCATGGGGTGGGGGTGGTTTTCAGGAAATGTTAGGCCAAATACTGCAGGCTGATAATTGTGCATGAGAATGATGTTGTAAACATCCAAATGCTCCCGGGCAGAAAAAACGATTGCCCAGGTCTGATCTGACCCTAGGCTCCCAGACTTACTGGGCCTATCATGCTCGTATTAGACACACACACACACAAAAATCCTCAATGCCCCCTGGCAATTAAAAACATTTGTATCATATCCCCTGTTCCAGGATAAAGTGTGTTGATGCCATGAGTAGTACCCTTCAGTCGGTTCTGATCCGCAGCGACCCCGATGTACAGCAGAAGGGAACGCCGTCCAGCCCTGCCCGGTCTCACCATGAGCCCGTGGCTGCAGCCCCCATGTCCGTCCATCTTGGGGAGGGCCTTCCTCTTTTTCGCTGTCCCGACACTTGACCAAGCATGATGTCGTTCTCCAGGGACTGGCCTCTCCTGACAACACCTCCAGTACCTGAGACCAAGCCTCGTCCTCCTGGCCTCTAAGGAGCACTCTGGCCATATTGCTTCCAAGACAGATCTGTTCGTTGTTTGTGGTCTGCGGTACTTTCAATATTTTTCACAAGTACCAGGATTTAAATAACATTGACTCTTCTTTGGTCTTCGGGAAAAGTTTAGGTATCTGCTTTTGCAGTGGCACCCCCCCCCCATTGTTTTAGTGCCCTCCCCCAGGGGGTGGTATCAGCCACTTTGGGGAACACTGCTCTAGGCCTCCCCATCGCTGTCAATGCAGACCCCCCAGGGCCCTACAAGACAGAGTAGAACTCCCCCCCCCCCATAGGGTTTCCAAGGCTGCGATCTTCACAGAGATGTGCTCCATCTCTCTCTGCAGAGCAGCTGGTGGGTTTGAACCTCCAGGCAAGTGCTTAGCCTCTAGACAATCAGGCCAGGCTAGACAGCTAGAAACCGGATCCCTGCCTACAGTGGATCAACGTTTTCATTTGGTTTGGATTCTGGGTCCCAGGACACCACTAGAAACTTCAACCAAACTCCCTGCCCTCCAGTGGTAGAGACCCCACAGGGTGGGGTAGGTTCTGCCCCGTGGGTTTCTGTCCGAGAGTGTAACTCTCCGCAGGAGTAGGAAGCCTCGTCTTTCTCTTGAGGAGGAACTGAGGGTTTTAAACTGCTGACCGTGTGCCTAGCAGCCCAGTGCCTAGCCCACTAGGCCACCAGGGCTCCTGTGGAAGCTTCTGCCATGAGTGAGCACTTTGCCATGGACTATGGGCTTGTGCTAAGGGAGGATCATGCGGGTTTGTTGCAGACAGACCCAGCAGGGGTGGCCATCTCTTCCGCTGCATTCCACTGACCACAGAGAGGCTGGGGATGCAGACCCACTGGGGGCCCCAGAAGGAAAGAAACCAGCTGGTGGAGAAGCCACTGTAGTGGCCTTGTGGTGCACGGCTGTGTGTTTCCCTAATCAGAAGACACACATCGGGGGCAGCATGCCCCAGTCTGGACCCTGACTCTGCCCTGCGTACCCCTGGGAAGCTTCCAGCGTCTTGACTGCCTTTGTTCCATGGGGCCAGCAGGGTCTCACCTCACCCTCCCCAGGTGGCTCTGTGGCTGAAATAACACAGGGGTGTCTTGACCGTGACTGCACAGAGAGAAGGGACAGCATACCGTTTTTTGTGCTGAGAGGCAGAACTTACACAGCCCCTGGGTATGGAGGGGATGGGTTCCAGGACCCCGTTCCCCCCAAGGGGGTGGAAATCTACCAAGGCTCAACTGCCTGATACCGCGTATTTATGTAACTCGTGCTCATTCTCTGTACACCATGAATCCCCTGCCGACGACTTACGATGCAATGTCAGCAGCATTTCACACACCCCCAGCCTCTGAGGGGTTTCTTGGACGCCTTCATTGCTTTTATCATGCTGCCCCCGCCTCCCAGAATATTTTCAGTCCATGGTTGATTTAAGTCCAAAGTTGTAGGGCCTGAGGGTGTTGGGCGTGGGGGCCACTGAACATATATGCAGAAGGTAGTGTCCGGCACAGGCTCAGAGCATGCAGTCTGGGGACCTCGGGCAGCCCCTGGCACTCCCAGAGCCTCCGTTTGTGCACCAGTAAAAGGGGGACGGCAGAAGGTGGGAGGACAGGGAGACCATGCTTGTGCAGCACCTGGGTGCAGCCAGCCCCCGAGAGGTGTGCATTTCTCACCAGCACCTGCGCCCCCTCTTTAGGAACAGTTCCCGGGCCTCCCTGTGGGGAACCGCACCCTTCTCATCCTCAGCACCTGGGTGGGATTGAGCCCACTCTGAGCTGCAGCAAGCTGACTCAGCTGCCAGTCCCTGGATTGTTTCAGGGATGTGCACACCACCCACGGAGCGCCATCAGGACCCATGGAAAACACGCGCTCCTGCAACTCATCTGGGGAGAGAGGCTTGCTCTGCTCCGGCGGGCTGGGCCTGGGGTCAGCTTGTGAGGGCCAGGTCTCCTGCAATCATCTTGTGACCACAGGAGAGGCGGAGGGGGATGCTGACCCTCCAAGAGAAGCTGAAAAAGGTGTGCAGTCTCTGAGCTTGTTTACTGGACATCGGAGACATTGGTTCAATTTCTGGGACACACCTCACCTGAACTCAGACTCTGGGTTTCCAGG